CCGGGGCCCAGCAGGAGGTTGGAGTGCGAGGCGGCCAGGCTGGCCCGCGCCGAGGGCTCGGGGGGCAGCGCGGGGCTGCGCGGCGGCGACAGCAGGTGCTCGCGGCTCTGGCGCAGGGCCTCGGGCGACGACAGCAGCAGGTGCTCCTGCGACACGAGGCGCGCGCGCGGCAGCGTGAACTCGTAGCGCGAGGCGCGGCCGCCGTCGCCCAGCAGGTGCTCCTGGGACATGACCCGGCGCGGGTGGGGCGCGGGCGCCAGGCTCAGCTCCTCCGGGCCGCCCCAGGCGTCCATGCGGTAGCCGCCGCCCGTGCCGGGCCGCCGCAGCGTGTGCAGGGGCAGCGTCCCGCGGGGCACGTCCGCCAGGTGCGAGCGCTTCAGGTAGGCCTCGTCCAGATCCTTCTCGGCTGCGGGAGGGGAACGGGCCAAGGAGGTGGGTCCCTGGGCAGCCGACACCCCACCTGCGCCCTTACCCGTCGGCCCCTCCTCCTGGGCTGGGCCTTGCCCCCTGCCCTCTGCGCCAGGACCCGCAGAAGGCGGTTCCCCAACTTTCATCAGAAGAAACCCGTGCCCTGCAGGCCGAGACAGAACCCCAGGCCCAGCCTGCAGGCAGGACCAGTGCATGGGACCTCCCCGAGCTGAGAGGTGGGGAACTTGCAGATGCTTCTGACCTGCTGGATCCAGCCACACCTGAAGCCGGCCAGCCCCAATGCGCTTAGTTGTGTGGATGTTCACCACCAGCACCACCACCCTTTTTTTTTTTTTTTTTTTAAATTTTTGCTCAGATTGTATTTCTATTCATTGTAAATTCAAGTCATGGAGAACAAGATCAGCTTGCAGGGAGCAAGGCCTTCCATTTTAAACAAGCTCCCCCGGGGCACCTCTGGACAAACTTGGAGAATGCTGTGTGTCTGTGCGGGTGTGTGTGGGGATCTCAGCCGTTAGCGGCTGAAGGGGCCCTGACCCCCTCCCAGGACTTACCCAGCCTCTTCAGGGAGGAGTAGCGGTTGAGTTCTGACTTCACCGCAGCCTCGTAGGACGGGGGCAGGTGTGAGAGGTTGTGGAAGGACCGGGAGCAGGACAGGGTGGAGTAGTGCAGGGAGGGGCTGGGCGGCGCTGCTGCTCGCCAGTCTGGGGCAGAGGGGCGGGCCGAGGTCAGGCCTCAGCCCTCCCTCAGACCCGGGGTCCTGACTCCCACCCCTCCTCCCTCAGACCCGGGTCCTGACCCCACCCCTCCTGCCTCAGACCCGGGTCCTGGGGTCCTGACCCCACCCCTCCTCCCTCAGACCCAGGTCCTGACCCCCAGCCCTCCTGCCTCAGACCCAAGGCCCCTAGCACCACCTCCCTCAGAGCCAGGAGTGTGGGCCCTCAGTTCACTCCTTCCTCAGAACCCTCCTCTCTCATCAGACCCAGGAGTTCCCCCTGTCCCCACCCCCTGGCGATTAGAACTCTAGAACTCCAGCCCCTCAGAGCTCCAGAAATTCCGGCTCCCTCTGCACACGCCCTCCTCTCAGGAGCCAGGCGTGTGGGACAGTGGGAAATGTCACAGGAAGGGAGTGGCCTTGGTTTGCTGGGCACTCACTGTGTGCCCGCCTCCTGGGGGTGTGGCCCACACATCCTCCCACCAACCCAGGTCAGAGGGAGAAGGACACTGTGCAAGTGAGGGCACTGGGGGGGCCTGGCGGCCTGGCCGGGCTGGGAGCCCGTGAGGCGCTCTGCGAAGGGATGTGGACAGTGCAGCCTGCCCTGCCCCCAAGCCCGGGCGCCCTCCCGGGGCCCTGGTCTGTGCGTACCCAGCATACCCAGCGTACCCAGCGCGGCAGCATGGTGCTTGGGGCTGTTGGCGTTCAGGTGCATGTAGTTGTGGTGCAGGTTATCTGTGAGGCCGAGAAGGGAGGCATCACCATCGTGGGCCACTCTCCAGCAGCACCACTGTCCTGGGCTCGGCCCCGTGGCCAGGACCTCATCCATGCCCCACAGAGCAGCCCATGCCATTGGGCATACAGGGGACACTGAGGCTGGGGTACTAGAAGGTGGAGAGGGGGCACAGGCTCATGGCTGGGGGAGGTGGGCTTGTCCCCATCTTCACCACGTACCCAGCGCCCAGGAGTCTCCTGGGCCCCAGCTCCAGTCGTCCTGCTTCCTGAGTCTGCCCCAGTCCATCCTCTGCATGGCCACCCCCAGCCACCCTTGTCTTCTTCCTCCTGGATCATCAACCCAGGCTTCTGGTCGACCAGTTCGTTCACCTCCAAGATCAGCCCTTGCTTCCCTGCTGCTCAAGACCTTGCCATGGTTGACGGCCCCCAGAGGACAAAGTCCAAGCTGGGAATGGCATCGTGGGCTTGCAAAACCCAGCCCCAGCCGAAGTTATGATAAGTTCTTGGCCACAGCCAACCACCCTGATGGAGTGTAGTTGGACCTGTGGGCTCGGGACCATGGTCACAGGGGACATCAAGCTCAACCGGCATAACATACTACACAAACGCACGTTCTACAGCCCACTTTGATGAGTACCGACTGGGGTCTTACAAGCCTGGAAGCAGCCATCTATATACAACAATGGGTCTCTCCTCGTCCAGAGCAAAGAAGAATGAAGAAAACCAATTGGTCCAAGGTACTAGTGGACTATGCAGACCTCAGCCTACATGACCCTGAGACCAGAACTAGACAGGGCCCAGGCGCCACTGTCAACCACCTGGAAAGAGATCAGTGCAGGAGATCCTGGAGAGAGCAGGAGAGAGACGTGGAACAAAACTCAAAATCATAACAAAGGCCAGGCTCACTGGTCTGATAAAGACTGGTGAGACCCCTGAGAGTATGGCCCCCAGTCATCCTTCAGGCCTGGAATTGAACTTACTCCTGTGGCTTCCAGCCAAATAACAGACAGGCCTATGGGGTGAATATTGACATCAGGCAAATACACTCCTTTCCAGTAATACATCAGACAGTGTTTCACTGGTATTCATAAGGTTTTCAGTGGCCAGTTCTTTGAGAAGTGATGGCCCCCTTCCTTCTTCCAAGTCTGTTTCAGTCTGGAAGCTGGGAAAATCTGCTACAAAAGACCTCTTCAAGTGCTGAAGAGCAAAGATTTCTCCTTGAAGACTAAGGTGCGCCTAACCCAAGCCATGGTATTTCCAATCAGCTCATATGCATGTGAGAGCTGGACAATGAATAAGGAAGACTGAAGAAGAGTTTGATGCTTTTGGGTTGCGGTTTTGGTGAAGAATGGTGAAAGCACCACGGTCTGCTTAAAGGACTAACAGATCTGTCCTGGAGGAAGTGCAGCCAGAATGCTCCTTGGAAGCGAGAATGGCCAGACTTTGTCTCACCTACTTTGGTCATGTTGTCAGGAGGTGCCATTCCCTGGAGAAGGCTGTCATGCTTGGTAAAGTGGAGGGTCAATAAAAAAGGGGAAGGCCCCCCCCACAAGATGGAGAGACACAGTGGCTGCAAAAATGGGTTCAGGTAGAGCAGGGATCGTGAGGCTGGCACAGGACTGGGCAGTGTTTCGTTCTGTTGTCCACGGGGTCGCTGGGAGTCGGAGACAACTCCACAGCACCTAACAACAACAACAGCAACAGGTACGCTCCTTAGAACAATCAACCATGAGGTCAGAGGGCGGTGTTTGCGCAGGGAGATGGCTGGGGGGGCAGGAATGCCAGGGAAAGAAGGCCACAGGGAAGAGGTACCTACAGAGAGGAAGCGGGCAGAGAGCTATTACGTTGTGGGGAATTACAGTCAATATTATGAAACAAAATGTGTACGAACTGCCATTTGGCAAATGCATTTGCTCTGTAAAATTTCACCCAAATCACATTTGAAAAACAAACAAAAAAGCCGCAGCTGGCACGGGTCAGGGATGGGTCTAAGGTGCGGGGGTCTGTGCCCTGAGCACCACGCCAAGGCGCAGCTCTGGTAAGCGGCTTCCAGGAACCATGGCAGCCTCCCTGCCAGCTGTGAGCAGTCACTCAGCTACTTCCAAGGAAACGTGTGCAAGCCCCCCCTGGGTTGGCGCACTGTGTGGTCTTGCTCTGCTGAGGGTAGAAAGAGAAGAAACTGAGAGAAAGCCCAGAAAGCCTCGGAGCCCACCGCGACCGGTTGCCCGTCACTGCAGGCAGGCAGGTGCAAGGGCCATTTTCAAGCAGGGTCACTGGGCGTTAAGTAAAAGCCGAGGTGGACCTGTGTCTTGGCGCCGATGGATGCTGAAGTTGTCTGAAGAATGCGTTAGACGTCTGCATGGGGCACGGCGCCAGTGCCGGCCTTGGGCGCCATTTTCCGGAGACACTTCATCCCCCCCCTCCCCTCAGGCCACGCTTCTGATCCCCAAATGAGCTGGGGAGCCCCGCCGCGGACTTCCCAACAGGCTACACGCTGTTCCCCTGCCTCTGCCCACCCCTCATCCGGCGCCCTCCTGGCTGGTCGGCAGGAGGGGGACCAGCTCACTAGGGCACCCCCCAGCACTGCCCCGAGCCAGTCGGTCATGGATGGTACCGATGAAGGGGGACGGCCCAGGAGAGGCACAGGGAGGGCTGTGGGCATTGCAGGACCACTCACCGAGATTGGACGGCTTAACCGTGTTGTACAGGTTCTTGGGCGTCCTTGGCACCATGCTGTCGGCACCGCCGACGCCCGGGGTCAGAGAGCTGCTTCTGGCCCGGTCCGGACGGGTCCCAGGCCCCCCCTGGTGCCTTAGAATGTCCACCAGAGCTCTGCAGGTGGTAGAAGGGGGATCAGGGGACAGGGACGGCGTGACCCGGGTCTCCTTCCCTCCCTGCTCTCGCCTGTGGCTGCAATCTGTCCGCTTAGCCAGGCTTCTCATCCCGCCCAAGCCTTTTCTCCCAGACCCCATCCCATTCCCGCTGGCCAGGCTCTCTCCAGGACAATGCCCACTTCCTACCCGTTGGCCCTTTCCCACGTGCCACGCCTTATCCCAGAAACCACGCCCATTCATCGCTGGTCACGCCCCTCCATGCTGGTCACGCCCCTCTGGCATCAACTTGTGCCTCACCCACCCCGAGGTCCCTGTGGCCATGCCCCCACTTGAAGGCTTCTGCTAATGTCTCCCAGGAGCTCTGGTGGTGTAGTGGCTAAGGCATTTGACTGCTAACCAGAAGGCTGGTGGTTCAAACCC